AGGCAACCACATGACTAACCCTGAGAGAAAACTGCCTAGCTGAGCCCAGTCAACCTTCAGAACCATGAAAGATAATAATACAATGATTGGTGTTTTGAAAAACTGAGTTTCCAGGGGTTTCGTTTCACAGCAATAGTTAAATGGAACACCCTTCACTCACACCAGCGGAGGTGGTCAGTCCCACTGGGCAGCACTGCATCGCTCCATTAGACCAGCATTTACTGAGCGCTTCCTCTGGACCAGGCTAGGCAGTAGGCACTGGGAGCATGGCAGTCAATTCAGAAACAGGTTCTGCCCATCTCCACCCACACGAGTTACCGATCTAGTTGGTGACACAGATACCAAACAAGTGGACCTGCACAGTACCAAACAAGAAAACAGAGGGGGGGCCTGCACTACTGGGGTCAGAAAAAGCCTCTGAAGGTGTCTCTAGGCAGGGCCTGTAGAGCATTGGAACAGCATCATGGCAGCCGAGTCCCTCCAGGGTACAGAAAAAGGAAGCCCAGGGGGCGGGCATGGGTGACAGGGCAGATCTGTGGGGACCACACCACCAGGCAGGGATCATAGGAAGATACACTGCATCCAAAGGACAACAAAAACCACTGGAGTGTTTAAAGTACAAAACGAAGACCATGTACTTAGGTATCTGTGAGAAAAACAGTGTGGAGTACCACGTCTACTCTCAAGCACTACCTCTCCTCTCACAGTGCTGATCGGGGGCTGATGGCTACTTTGGTTATGACAAAAAGCAGCCAGTTAATCCTGATCAAGTGCTTTCTGCTAGGTAACAAATCACTGTTTTCATCAGTTAGACGGCTGGTTTTCAGTGATTTTATGAGGTTCAGCTTCTCTGTGCAAGTCCCTGAGCCCAGTTCTCAAGCAACCTCTTACTCTTGGCTCTTACCATTTCAGAGATGAGAAAACTGTGGCTCCGAGACATTCAATAACCTGCCCAAACAGACAGAATAAGAGGTTCCAGAGCCACAACTCTCCTGGGCAGAGTCTAGCCATGGCTCGTCATGTCTGACATTTGCACACTTGTTGTTCCTTTGCTGACCAGCAGCCTCCAATTCCCTTTAGAACAGTCACTGTTGAGTTTCTACTCACAGCCAGATCCTCAGGGCCTCCCACAGAACCAGGCACAGAGGGGACTTCATACATAGGCTTTCTCTAAGGAAACCAACTCAAATTCACTCAAAAGGGCACCACCCCAAATTGCCAACACGGTAATAGGAGCACCCAGGGCAGCTGGCTGCTGTGAGGGTTCCAGGGCCTTAGCATTGGGCAAAACAGTCAAAAGCCAAACCCAGCAGCAATCAAGGAAGGTTGACTATGGAATCTGGCCCTTCCATCCATGGTACACAGGTACCTTCCTGGCCAAGAGTGCTGCCCAGATGACACCTTGTGCCCAGGAAGAACGCCATCCATGCATGCCCCTGAGCCAAGAGCACACACTTTTTTCTCTTTTCTTTTCTTTTCTTTTCTTTTCTTTTCTTTCTCTCTTTCTCTCTCTCTCAACCACCTCACCTCTTCTTGGCCAATGGAAGACCTGGCTTTTGCCTCCAACTTGTAAGGTCAGCTACTGCCCCCATGAGACCTCAGTTTCCCTAAATGCTCTGTAAGAAAGAATTAGCCCTGGCCAACCAGCTCAGTAGTTAGAGTGTTAGCCTGCAGACCAAAGGGTCTTGGGTTCAATTCCGGTCAAGGGCAGGTAGCTGGGTTGCAGGTTTGATCCCCAGCCCCAGTTGGGGTTGTGCAAGAGGCATCCAATTGATATGGCTCTCTCACAATGATGTTTCTCTCTGTCTCTCCCTCCCTCCTTTCCACTCTCTAAAAAGGAATGGGAAATTATCCTCGGGTGAGGATTAACCAAAAAAAAAAAATTATGGTTACAAACAATTAACTCTCTAAGAACCCTCTGGATCCAAGCACCCAGCACAAGACTGAAATTAGCTGGTGAGGTCTAGCCTTGCACCCATATGCCCACACCCTCATTGGCACAAATACGGAGCCTGTTGCCGCCCCTGAAAAAGTCATTTGTGGGAGAGAATGGCCACTCCTGCCCTCCACAACACCTACCCATGCTCTGCTAAGACAAACACTCAACATGGTGCCATGATCAGGTGGAATATCCCACGAACCTGCTGCACCTCACTGGGTGAGTACCTTCTGCCCTGGTGGCCTCGGTGGCACCACCCACCCATTTGATGAGGACCACTTGCAGAGTCTGTGTACCAGTTTGGCAACGGCCTTAACTTCTGCGTCCCCAGAATGAATCATCATGCGCTAAGAGTCACATTTACTGAACCCCTAGCAGGTGCATTACCTCATTTCATCCTCACTAGGTGAGGGCAGGTCTGCACTGTCTTACCCAATATTCCAAAGTCAAGAAACCTCAAAAGTTAGTTTTTCGTCCCTGGTTTGACCTGACAAGAAGCTATTAAGTGTCTTTCTTCATCCCAGACAGTCCTAGGTGAGTTTGCTCAAGCATCAGTTCCAAACCTCACAGATAGAGCCTCAAATGGGAAAAACTCTGAATTCCAAAACACATCAGGCCTCAAGGATTTTGGGTAAGGGGTCTTGGGCCTGCTTTAAGGACAGGGAGAAAAGGCTCCTAGAAGTAACTTCGAGCCCCGGGTAAAGACAGGTCTAACTCTGCCTCCCCTCAGGAAACCCCAATGCACCCCACCCCCCCGTGCCGAGTTCGAAGGCCGCCTGGCAAGTGGCGGGAGGACGAATCCGCGGTGTCCGGCACCTGGGGGCTCGAGAGCGTGATGCGGCGCTGGGTCCCAAGCAGGGTCTGGGCGGGGTGAGCGCGGCGCCGCGACCGCGCGACCAGAGAGCGCTCTGCAAAGTTGGTCAAGGCTTCAGAGGGGAGGCACGCGCACAGCCGGGCCGGTGGCGAGCGGGGAAACCCGGCGCGCCCCCAACGCCCGGGTCGGCCAGCCCCCCCCGCCCCCTCCCCACTCCGCGGCCCCCGCCGGAGCCACTGCCCCCGCACATGCGCACTGCAGCCCGCGATGTGGCAGCCGGGGAAGAGGGGGGGGGGGCCAGGGCGGGGGGCGGCTGCCGACGGAGCCCCGCGCCCCTCGGGTCCCAACGGACGCGGCGCCCCGGGTAAGGCCTCGCATCCTTGAAGCCAGGGTGGTCTCTGTGCCCAGTGCCCCGACGTGGCCGAGGACCGGCAGCGGGGAGCGCGGGTGCGCGGGGGCGGGGGGCCGGCTCCCCCGGCCCGCTCACTCACCTCCGCCATGGCCGTGTGTGCGCGGGAGGCGGTGGCTGCACAGGGATCCCCGGATACGGAGCCGCGGGTTCATTGGCTGTGGCGCCTCGGAAGGCGTGGCCTGCGAGGGCGTGGCCTGCGAGGGCGGGGCGAGGGCGGGGCGTAGTAGGTGCGCGGACCGGGATGCGCGGTGTGAGTGCGGGGGCGGGGCGGGCTTTGAAAGTATGGGTTTAGGGTCTCTGCCTGGGCCTTGGTCTGTGAGGTAGGGGATGCCATTAATAAAAACACTGATTCTTGATAACCACATCTGCCTAGGGAGCTTTGGTTCTGTGTCCTCCCTTCAACAGCCTGGCTAAATACTATCAGTACCCTGGTGTTACAGGTGAGGAAACTGAGGCCTAGAATGATGGACCACTCAATGCATAAGTGGTAGAGCCAGAACTGAAGCCACAGCGTGGTTCTAGAACTTTCTTCAGGTTTTCACCAGTGCTGATCCATCCAGTGTGCCAAAGAACCAATTTGGGGAACTTACGAGATGCACCGTTAGGATGAGCTTTGAGCAGCAGAGCAAATCCACACCAAGGAGCTGAAGTGCTGACTTGGGGGGCTGGAGAGGTGGATTCAAACCCACTGTTTGGCTCTGAATTCATTAAATGTTTACGGACTGTTTGCACAGTCTGAGGTGCTGGGGGAGAGTTTGAACAGGACAGTCCTGGTTCACTACATTTAAAATTTCAGACTTACGAATGTTGTGAGCACCGCCCTGGCGGGTTTGGCTCAGCAGTTGGAGCATAGGTCCAAGGACCAAAGAGTCGCAGGTTCAATTCTGGTCAAGGACGCACCTCAGTTGCGGTTTGGACCCTGGCCCTGGTCGGGTCATGCCAGAGAAAGCCAATCGATGTGTCTCTCTTACATGGCTGCTTCTCTCACATCAATGTTTCTCCCCACCCTCTCGCACATGCGCACGCTCTCTCTCTCCCCCTCCATCCCTTCCTCCCTCCTACTCTGTCTGAAGATAAATGGAACAAATATCCTGGAATGAGGATTAAAAAAAAAATGTTGTGAGCATCTGGGAGATAAAGAGAGGAAATGGGAGAACGGAGGCAGTGAGTAGGCAGAGATGTCCAGCAGGACTCAAGTGGTGGCCAGAAGCAGAGAAGTGAAGAGAGCTGGGAAGGTACACCCCACAAAATCCCTGATATAGTGAAGGTGGAAAGGGCATGAAGGTCGGCTCCCAGATTTCTGACTTGCACAAATAAGTGGATGGTAGTTCCTACTGAGACTGGGAAGAATGGAATTGGGAAGATGGGGGACTCGAGAGCCCCATTTCCTTTCCCAGCTGTTGGCCAGCAGAATACTGTTGGGGTCATGGTGACAGGGTGCTCTTCTTAGACCAGCCAAAGGAGAGGAGGCCACAGCGGGGGTTGGTTTTATTAGGGAGGTCACACTGAGTCTGAGGTGCTTGTGGACACCCCAGGATGTAGTTGGATAAGCAAAACTGGACATAGATTCGGGGGGGGGGGATTGTAAAGTTGTGGGAGGCTGATGTGTGACATGGGAGAAACTCAAGACAGCAGGGAAAAGTGATTTAGGAAATAAAGGACTAGACAAATAGCAGGTAGATATGAACATAAATATTATTTTCCTCTTCTCATCCTTTTGGCCTTTCATTTTGCCCTCCCTCCTACAGGCCAAATTCTCAGAGCCAGCCACACACACAAGGTTAGGATGCACTTGGGTATTTACTGGGAATGAGGCCTCAGAGGCCAGGCCTGGATCACTCACACTTTTTTGGTAATGCTTTTGGGGGTGGCAAGCTCATACAGGCGAGGGGATGCCTGAGCCAACAGGGAAGCCCGGGAAATATAGTAGGGGTCATAGCCCTCATTGAGGTCCTTGCGTACTTTGGGTTTGGCCAGAGAGATGATCCGGGGACTGGCCACCGCCTTCTTGGTGACATCCAGCACCTCCCAGCATGGATTTCGGTCAGGAATACACTTCTCTGACGGGGCCTTGGGCACTAGAGTGGGCAGGAGAGAGTGACAGCATCAGGCACTCCTACAGAGATCAACCTGCAAGGTCAAAGTTCAGTGGCCTCTCCAATAATGAAGGAATGAAAAAACACAACATGTCCCATCCATACGCTGCAATATTGCTCAACCATGAGGAGTGAAGCACTGACACAGGCTACAACGTGGATGAACATTGAACTTATGATGCTCAATGAGAAGCCAGACACAAAAGGCCACACAGCCCTGGATGGTTTGGCTCAGCAGTGTCGGCCCCTGGACTGAAGGGTTGCAGGATCGATTCCTGGTCAAGGGCATCATATCAATGTTTCTCTCTCTCTCCTTCCCTCCCTTCCACTCTGCCTGGAAATCAATGGGAAAATATCCTCGAGTGAGGATTAACAAAAAAAAAAAAAAATTTTTTTTAAAAGGGCCACACAACTGGTTCGATATCCAGTCAGAGCACATGCCCAAGTTGTGGGCCTGGTCCCCAGTGTGGGGCATGCAGAAGGTGCCAATCAATGTTCTTTCTCATCAATGTTTCTATCTCTCTCTCACTCTCCCCTCCTCTCTTTGTAAAATCAATAAAGGAAAAAAAAAATTTTTAAATAAAGGGCCACACAGTATGTGATTCCATTAATGTGAAATTCCCAGAACAGGCAAATTCATAAATACAGGAAGGGTTTATAGGTGCCAGGGGCTGGGGACGGGATGGAGAATGACTGCTAATATTCACGGGGTTTCTCTTTGGGATGATGAAAATGTTCTAAAATTGCCCTGGTCGTTTTGCTCAGCAGTTGGAGCAACTAGGGTTTGATTCCTGGTCAGGAGCATGTGCCTCGGTTTCAGTTCAGTCCCCAGCCCCAGTTGGGGTTGTGCAGAAGGCAGCCAGTCGATGTGTCCCTCTCACATCAGTATTTCTCTCTCTCTCCCTCCCTTTGTCCCACTCTATCTGAAAAAAAAAATCAATGGAAAAATATCCTTAGGTAAGGATTTAAAAAAAAAAAAAGAAAATGTTCTAAAATTTATTGTGGCGATAGATACACAAAAAGTGTACTAAAAACTTTGAATTGTACACTTTTTTTTTTTTTTCTCCTCACCCGAGGTCATTTTTTCATTTTTTGTTCAGATAGAGTGGGAGGGAGAGAGAGAGAGAGAAGCATCGACATGAAAGGGACACATCGAGTGGCTGCCACCCGCACGACCAACCAGGGCCGGGGATAAACTGCAACCGAGGTACATGCCCTTAGCGGGAACCGAACCCGGGTCTCTCTGGACCGCAGGCCAACGCTCCAACCGCTGAGCCAAACCGGCTAGGGCTGTACACTTTATTTTTTATGGTAGTATATTGAATTGTACATTTTTAAAGGATAAATTGTGCCCTGGCCAGTTTGGCTCAGTGGTTAGAGCATCGGCCTGCAGTCCCAAGAGACCCAGGTTTGGTTCCCACTAAGGGCATGTACCTCGGTTGCAGTTTGTCCCGGCCCTGGTTGGTTGTGTGGGTGACAGCCACTCGATGTGTCCCTTTCACGTTGATGTTTCTCTCTCTCTCTCTCTCTCTCTCTCTCTCTCTCTCTCTCTCTCTCTCTCTGTTCCTCTCTCTCCCTCCCACTCTACCTGAACAAAAAATGGAAAAATGTCTTTGGGTGAGGATAAAAAAAATAAAAGAAAAAAGAAAAGGATAAATTGTAAAGAAAAACATTTCAAATGGCCGCATCCCACACAGAGGGACTCAGAGGAGCCAGCCAAAAGTGTCTTGTAGGCTCCGTAGGCTGTTCCACACTCTTTCCTCCATCTTCTGATGGCACAGTGGGGAGAGCTGAAGAGCAGTGGCTACTGGAGGCATCTTCCCCTGGCTGGTCCTGCAGGCCTGCTGCATGAACCCAGGGGCAGCTCCTGCGTGCACAGGCCCTTTCAGGATTCAGCCTCCCACCTCGTTCTGGGCCCCTGCCCTCGCTGTCCAACACGACTGCAGCCTCAGCCGGGCCCTCCCAGGGATGCTGACACTATGGCTCCTACCAGCCTCATGTGCCAGTGCCTGATATGAGCTGGACTTTTCTTCTACTTAATTTTAACGAAGTCAATTCATTTATTTAGATCAACTGATTGGTTGGTTTTAATTTCATTGAAGTGACCACATGTGGACAGTGACTGCAGTCAAGGACAGACAGCTCTCAGGAGCAGAGACCTGTGGCTCAGCCGGGCTCCCTCCTCACCACCTCTCCGCCTCCCCCTCCTTTACAGTGAGCCGCAGCGCACGTGTGGCTTGTTTAGGGACTAGAATGGAGGTGATCACCACTGGTCACTGACTTGGCCTTCAGTGTCTGGGAGCTTCAGGATCCTCAGCTTTGAGGGGTGCTGCAGTCTCCTTTCTAAACCCCTTTGTTTGGAGCCTCTGTGCAAATGGAAAAGGGTATCCCCACCTTCTCAGCAGACAGACCCTGGCTTGGTGGAGGGGCCCTTGATGAAAGAGAGTGGGGTTCCTTCCACCAGGCAGTCACAAGCCCACACAGGCCCACTGCTGGGCAAAGCCATCAAGGCCGCACCGGAGCTTTGCCAGGCAGATAACCATTCCTGCCAAAGGGAAGGAGGCCAAGCAGTTGAGCCTCAGTGGCCCCTTGCAGGACTGGGAAGACCATGCCCAGAGCCCAGACTTCTCTGAACTCCTCTGTGAGAATTCTGGAGCATTTCCACTGTTGCAATATCTGGGTTTTTAAACTCTGTTGACTGAGTCCACCGCCACACAGCACACATGTCAACACACAGAGAAACATGAACTCACACCCACCCACATAGTTCATGGTCTTCCTGTGTCATCATTTCACTCTTTTAAATGCTGGTTACACCTAAGAGTGGGTGGAAGTTTGCTGTTTGAAAAGCACAACCTGACACATTCTTATACACACACACATGGATGTGTACTTACAGGTACATCTGAAACATGAATCAATATATGGACAAGTGTGCATGTACAAATGTGTATATATTTATATTCCAGGTATATGTGAGAGAGAAACAGAATGGTCTTATGAAGCAGTGCATATGTACTCATATATTTTCATTCATTTAACCAATCATTTAATAAGTACTAAGGGAATGGATAAATGAGTGAATCAAACAAACAAACAAAAGATCCTGTAAGCAAAGTTAAAAGAAAAGAGGCGGACTGGGGAGAAGTTATTTTGCAATGTGCTTAACAACGGATTAGTGATCATCTTATATAAAAAGCTGCTCCAGCCCTGGCCGGTTTGGCTCAGCGGTTAGAGCGTCCACCTGCGGTCCTGAGAGACCCGGGTTCGGTTCCCGCTAAGGGCATGTACCTTGGTTGCAGTTTGTCCCCGGCCCTGGTTGGTCGTGCGGGTGGCAGCCACTCGATGTGTCCCTTTCACATCGATGTTCCCCTCTCTCTCTCTTCCTCTCTCTCCCTCCCACTCTGTACAAAAAATGGAAAAATGTCCTCGGGTGAGGATAAAAAAAAAAAAAAAAGCTGCTCCAAATCAGTAACAGAACAAAACAAAACAAAAACACACAGGAAATAGAAAACTGGAGAAATGATAGATCAGAGTAAACCAGAATGGCCAATCATACTCTCTGGCAGTTATGTGCCAGGAGCAGGAGACACACGGAGTCTCCAAAGCCTCTGACATTGTAGGCCGGGCATATAACAGACCTCAAAGAATAAACAGACACATAAATATATTGTAAATATATATGTTAGAATGCAGCAGGTGCTACAGGAAAAGAGCACAGAGAGCAGCCATTGTGCACACAGGTGTCCAGAAGTGGGCACAGTTCATGGGTTAAGCAGGGTGCTCAGAGGGGCCTCACTGAGAGGATAGATTAGAGCTCCACCCCATGCCCTGGCCGGTTTGCTCAGTGGTTAGAGTGTTGGCCTGCAGACCAGAGAGTCCCAGGTTCGGTTCCCGCTAGGGGCACGTACCAAAAAAAAAAATAGAGCTCCACCCCACAGGAGGCAGAGGAGTAAGCCATTCAGGTATCTGTGGTCAGTGTTCCAGGCAGTGGGAAAGGAACCTGGTGGGGGAGGTGGGGGTGGAGGAGACAGATCACAAGGGCCTGTGGGCCACACAGAGTGAGACAGGAGCCCTGGGGGTCACGAGCAGGGAAGGGTGGAATCCAGCTTATATTCAGCAAGACCTCTGTGGCTGCCACATGGGAAATGGGCAAGAGTGGCACTGGGGATAAGGGTGGAGGCAACTACTCTGGTCCAGGGGCACATGAGGGGGCCTTGAGGGGTGGAGGGGGAGCTGGAGGCAGGTTCCTGATGTGCTCGGAAGACAAAGCCCACAGGGGTTCTCAGAGCACTGGACATGGAGCGTGATGGGAAGGGACAGGCAGGGAGAGTACTTGTAGTGTACACACTCACAGGTACACATATGTGAACTGCATGCATTCGTGGCTCTGCATGTAACCCTGTGTTATACCCAGAAGGAAACACTCCAAACTGCATTATTGTGGGGTGGGATTTCTTTCTTCTTCTTTCTTTTTTTTTTTTTTTTTTTTAATCCTCACCCTAGGACATTTTTGCATTCATCTTCAGATAGAGCGGGAAGGCAAGAGAGAGAGAAACATCTATGTGAGAGAGACACATCGAGTGGCTGCCACCCACACGACCCCAACCAGGGCCGGGGACAAACTGCAACCAAGGTACATGCCCTTAATGGGAACCAAACCCAGGGCTCTTCTGGTCCGTGGGCCGACGCTCTAACCGCTGAGCCAAACTGGCCAGAGCGGATTCCTTTCTTCTTTAGGCTCTCCTGCATTTTCCCAATTCTCTACAACTAGTTCACATTACTGTTGTTATGCGGGGACCGGGTACTTCATTTGTTTTAAAGGACAGAAGAGAATCAGGCCAACACCACTTCAAAGCTGCCCTTCGTGTCTGGCCAGAGTGGCTCAGTTGGTTGAGTGTCATCCCGTGCACTGAAGGATTGCCAGTTCAATTCCCGGTCAGGGCGTGTATGGGAGGCAACTAATCGATATTTCTCTCTGGCATTGATGTTTCTCTCCCCCTCTCGCTCTCTCTTCCTCTCTGCCCTTCACCTCAGTTTGGCTCCCTCGTCCTTGGCACTGTGCTCCCAAGTTTCTTTTCTGTACCCATTTGTCCTGCTAGGAGACCCATTCAGACAGCACTCGGCTTTAGGACCATGGACCCCTCTAACTTCTGCCTCTTTTCCCTGGGGAGCCTGCACAGTGTGCCTTGTCCACAAGAATCTGATAGCTGGTTTGCAGCTAAGGGAAGAGACGCAGGAGGAAGGAGCGCAAATCTGGCAGAAACAGGCCTAAAGTCCAAGTCTTCCGACTGTTCCCCGCCCCTGCCTGTGTCCAGTGGAGACTGACACAAGGATCTACTTACTGGCCAACTGAAGGAGCCGATTATAGTCTGATGTGTGTGGCTTGGGTTTTGGCACAGGGTCCCATTCTTCCAACAGGGTGGCTGGAATCCTGGGCTTTGCCAACTGGAGGACCCTTGAACTGGGGATGGCCATCTGGGCTGCCCTGGACACCTGAGACACCTGGTAACAGAATGAGAGGGGGAAAAGTGGAACATTCCATAATTCCTCAGAGGCCCCTGGATCAAAAAAAAAAAAACAAAACCTATAAGCAACACCAAGAGACAGAAGACTGACTGGAAAGAGGTTAGTTTGCAGTGTGTTCAGCAAAGGTTTAGTAGCTATCATATGTAAAGAGCTCCTCTAAATCAATAACCAAAATAAATCCATAGGCTAATTATATATATTGAATAATCACTCAATAATCCTTTCTGTTGACTAGGGAAATGTAAATTAAAACAAGAAAATATCACTGCCAGCAAACAAATGTGCAAAAATGAAAAAGTCTGATATTGTCAAGCCCTGGCAAGAATGTGGGAGGAGCAACATCCTCATGCATGGCTGGTGGGAGAATAAATTAGTACAAGCACTTTGGAGAACAGTTTGTCCATCTCAGGCGAAGCTGAGCATGTGCACACTTGATGACCGCCATATAGGAAAGCATCTAGTGCAGGCACAAGGATCTGAGTGCAGTAATATTCACTGCACCTGTAAAAAACTTAGTTGTCCATCAATAGGGAACTGGATAAACTATAGTATATTAATAAGATAGAATGTGACCCAGCAGTTAAAATGTTGCTTCTATGTAATACAGTATGACATGCTCTAGAAAACAAACATTGAGGGGAAAAGCAAAAAGTAAGATGCCATATATGTATATTAAAAACATGATACTTGCCCAGCTAGTGTGGCTCAGTGGTTGAGTGTTGACCCATGAACCAAGAGGTCACTGGTTCGATTCCCAGTCAGGGCACATGCCCAGGTTGTGGGCCAAATCCCCACTGGGGGTCATGCAGGAGGTGGCCAATTGATGTTCTCTCTCATCAATGTTTCTATTTTTCTCTCTCCCTCTTCCTTCTTCTCTCTAAAAATCAATTAAAAATTTTTTAAATAAAAATATGGTACTTGCCCTGGCCAATGTTGCTAGTGATTAGAGTGTCAGCTGGCGCATCAAAGGGTCGTGGGTTTGATTCCTGGTCAAGGGCACATACCTGGGTTACAGGTTTGATCCCAGGCCCCAGTCAGGGCATGTGCAGGAGGCAACCAAGTGATGCATCTCTCTCACGGTGATGTCTCTCTCTCTCTCTCTCTCTCTCTCTCTCTCTCTCTCTGTCCCCCTCCTTCCCTCCCTTCCACTCTCTCTAAAAATCATGAAAAAATATTATCAGGTGAGGATTAACTAACTAAATAAACAAATAAATAAAAACACTATGATTATGGTTTATGGCTCTGTGTATGTAATAAAGTAGAGCATGATGAAGGTAAGAAAGCTGGCCAAAGTCACTCATCTGTTGCTCTGGAATCTGTTCCCATTTGTCTGTCTAGGCCCCTGATCCAAGCCCACTGAGGGCAGGCAGCGCCCCTACCATTGAGGTGGGGGTCCCAGGAGAGCAAGTCACCTACCTCAGACATGTTTATGCTCCAAACGTTATTCCGGACCTTCGGGGTGGCCAGTTCCCTCAGGCGACTGGATGCTTGGTGTTCCAAGGTAGACCGAGGAATGGGCAGGATGGCGGTAGTCCTAAGGGACATCCACATTTGAGACAGTAGCTCAGCCAAGGGGGGTGTCTGTGCGCATGTGCACGTGTGTGTGTGTGTGTGTGTGTGTGTGTGTGTGTTCTCTTTCTCAGCTCCTCTCTGTTTCTTGGGATAAGGGAGGGAAAGTGGAGGGTTTAGAAAACACCTCCAAGAAGGTATTCATATGGGTTCTCAAAACTAGAGCTACAGTGTCCTGAAGTCATCCCCACCCAGGGCCTTCTCCCCATACCCACATAATCAGAGCCAGGGTTCAGATTGGAACATGAAGGATAATAGTGTGTGTCCAGCAGTTGTCACAGAAAGCTGGGAAAGTGAATTTCCACTGGGTTTACTGAGCCCACGCCTCCTAAAATCAGGTCTCAGCTATTCCTCTGCTCCAGAAATAAAGCCATGTTTCATTGATCTAAGGCAGACTTTTATATTTTCACATCTCTGAGGTTGGGATGCAGCTTATAAGTGCTGCCAGCCGGACATCAGGAACTCCACAGTTATCCTCGCTGCTGTGTAGATGTAGCTGTTCTCACTGAAATAACCTAAGTCAAGCTATGTGCGTTCTTGGTTCTACAGATGTTAAGTCTAATTGCAGTTTAAATTATGTTCAGATTATGCTATGATTCAACATTAAAATAAAAATTTATTTTCACATAAAGTAGGCTTAAAAACAGTGTGTGGAATATGTTAACATCTCTGAATCAAAAAATGATTCAGACTTCCGGTCAAGATGGCAGCGTAAGTAAACGTGATACTCACCTCCTCCCACAACCACGTCAAAATTACAACTGAACTACAGAATAAACATCATTCAGAACCACCTGAAATCTGGCTGAATGGAAGTCCTACAACTAGGGAAGTAAAGAAGGAGCCACATTGAGACTGGTAGGAAGGGAAGAGACTCAGAATGGGCTGGTTACACACCTAAATGGGGCAGATAAAAATTGGGAAGGATAGCCCTGGCCGGTTTGGCTCAGCGGTTAGAGCGTCGGCCTGCGGTACAGAGAGACCCGGGTTCAGTTCCCGCTAAGGGCACGTACCTCGGTTGCAGTTTGTCCCCGGCCCTGGTTGGTCGTGCGGTTGGCAACCACTCGATGTGTCCCTTCACATCAATGTTTCCCTCTCTCTCTCTTCCTCTCTCTCTCCTTCCCGCTCTGTCTGAACAAAAAAAAAAAAATTGGGAAGGATATCTTGGTAACAGAGGTCCCCCTGAGGAGCGAGAGGTCCCAGCCTCACACCAGTTACCTCAGCCCAGAGTTCCAGTGCCAAGAAAATAATTCTCCATAACTTCTAGCTGTAAAAACCAGTGGGAATTGAGGCTGAAGGAGACAGAGGGCTTCTGGAGTCACAAGCATTTCCTCTTAAAGGACTTGCACATGGCCCTAGCCAACGCAATTCAGTTGGATGGAGGGTCATCCCATGCACTGAAAGGTCATGGGTTCAATTCCCAGTCAGGGGACACACCCAGGTTGCAGTTTCAATCCCTGGTCAGGGTCCATACAGGAGGCAAATGATCAATGCTTCTCTCTCACATTGATGTTTCTCTCTCTCTCCTCTCCCTTCCTCTCTCTCTAAAGCCAATGGAAACATATCCTTGAGTGAGGATTGGGAAAAAAAGAAGGCCTGCTCATTCCCTTGGAGCTCCAGTATGGGGGCAGCAGCTTAAAAGGCACCAGAGACATATGGGAAGGAACTGAATTGTCTGGCATCAGGGTGAGAGCTGTAGGGGCTTCTTTCTACTGGACAGAAGTACTGGCAGAGGCCATTGTTCCTTTGATGAGCTCTCCCCCCCCCCCCCCGAGCCAGCAGGTGGGCACCATATCTGAGACTCCATCTACCTGTTTGCCCCACTCACACTATTTGCCCCACTGTGGTGATTCCCTGGGGCCCCACCCCACCAAACTTTCAGGTCCATCCAAGCTGTTTCCAGTGGCTTTTCCATCAATATGGCCTGTCTTGGCTCATGCTTCACATTTTCTTAAATCTCTCTCCATGATCAAGCAGCATTTGGCCTCCGTGAGCCCTGTACCTATTGCTTAGTGGTCCCAGGCCGGCACTAGCAGCAGCTGGGCTTGGTTCACAGCTCGGCCTCTCCAAGCCCAGCACAAGTAATAACCATCTGCAGATCACTGTGTAACTCATGCTAGGTGGTCCCAGGCAGGGAACATAGGTGGTGGCTGACCTTGGCCTGCACTTCCCAGTTGGTCCCACAGCCAATGCAGCTTCAGACCACATCAAAGCATCACCACCCAACCACCTCCACAAATGACATACTCAAGGGGCAGACTCAGTGGGCATCAGAGCCCTGCTGAAGTAAGTCCTGCTCCATAAGGTGGGTCCCTGCACAGCTGATCCTCCACCAGGTCAAAGGTCTATGGTCATAACCAGTCCTTGCAGCTGATCAGCCTGCAGGTAAATCCCTCCCATTGACATGCCAACAGCAATCAAGGCTCACACTACAACAGGAGGGTGTACACAGCCCACACAGAGGGGCACATCTTAAGTGCCCAGCTTGGGTGACAATGGAGGCTGTGACTCTGGATTCTACAGAACACCTACTATATTAGGCCACTCTACCAAGCCCAGGAGATGTAACAACTCTACCTAATACATAGAAACAGACACGGGAAGGCTGCCAAAGCAAGGAGGCAAAGTACTATGTCCCAAATGAAAGAACAAAATAAAACTTAAGTAAAAGAGCTAAATAAGATGGAAGCAAGCAATCTACTAAATGCAGAGCTCAAAACACTGCTTATAAGGATGCTCAATGAACTTAGCAAGAACTTCAACAGCATAAAAAGGGCCAGTCAGAAATGAAGGATACACTAACTGAAATGAAGAATAATTTACAGAGAATTAACAGTAGAGTAGATGAGGCTGAGAATCAAATCAGTGATTTGGAATATAAGGAAGCAAAAAAACACCCAATCAGAACAGCAAAAAGAAAAAAAAAAAATTAGAGTGTAAGGATCCTCTGGGACAACTTCAAGCATACCAACATTCTCATCATGGGGTGCCAGAAGGAGAAGAGACAAAAGAATTTGAAAACTTACTTGAAAAAATAATGACATAAAACTTCCCTAATCTGGTGAAGAAAACAGACATATAAGTCCAGGAAACACAGAAAGTCTAAACAAGATGAACCCAAAGAGGTTCACACCAAGACACATCATAATTAAAATGCAAAAGGTTAAAGAAAAAGAGAGACTCTTAAAAGCAGCAAAAGTAAAGCAGTTAGTTACCTACAAGGGAGCTCCCATTAGACTGTTATCTGATTTCTCAACAGAAACTTTGCAGGTCAGAAGGGATTGGCAAAAAATATTCAAACATGAAAGGCAAGGACCTACAACCAAGATTACTCTACTTAAAAAAAAAAAAAAAAAAAATGTCATTTTTAATTGAAGGACAGATAAAGAGCTTCCCAGACAAGAAAAAGTTAAATAAGTTCAGCACCACCAAACCAGTATTACAGAAATGTTAAAGGGTCTTCTTTAAGAAAAAAAATTAACCAAGGAAGTAAAAGACTTGTTCTCAGAAAACTACAGGACATTGAAAAAAGAAATAGAGAAAGATACTAAAAAGTGGAAGCATATACCTTGTTCATGTATTGGAAGAACTAACATCATTAAAATGTCCATACTACCCAAAGCAATCTATAGATTCATTGCAATCCCCATTAAAATACCAACAACATATTTTACAGATCTAGAACAAATTGGCATATAGATCAATTGAACAGAACAGAGAACCCAGAAATTGACCCAAGACATTATGCTCAACTAATATTTGACAAAGGTGGCAAGAGCATACAATGGAGTAAAGATAGTCTCTTCAATAAATGATGATGGGAAAATTGGACAGCTACATGCAAAAAGATGAAACTAGACCACCAACTTACACCACACACGAGAATAAACTCAAAATAAATAAAAGACCTAAATGTCATTTGTGAAACCATAAAAATCCTAGAAGAAAATGTAAACAGCAAAATCTCAGACATCACACAGCAAGAGTAACAAAGGAAGAAATTAATAAATGGGGCTACATCAAACTAAAAAGCTTCTGCACAACAAAAGAAACCAGCATGAAAATGAAAAGGGAACCCACTCTCTGGAAGAACATAATTGCCAATGATACATCAGATAAGGGGTTAATTCCCAAAATATATAGAGTACTCATACAACTCAACAAAAGGAAGACAAACAAACCAATAAAAAATGGGCAGAGAACCTGAATAGACACCTCTCCAAACAGGATATACAAATGGTCAAGAGACATATGAAAAAATGTGCAGTGTCACTAATCATCAGAGAGATGCAAATTAAAACGACTGCAAGCCCTGGCCAGTTTGGCTCAGTGGTTGGAGTGTTGGCCTGAGGTTCAGAGAGACCCGAGTTTGGTTCCCATTGGGGGCATGTACCTCAGTTGCAGTTTGTCTCCGGCCCTGGTTGGGTTGTACGGGTGGCAGCCATTCAATGTGTCCCTTTCACGTCGATGTTTCTCTCTCTCTCTCCCTCCCTCCCTCCCTCCCACTCTATCTGAACAAAAAATGGAAAAATGTCTTCGGGTGAGCATAAAAAAAAAACGACTGCAAGGTATCACCATACACCTACCAGAATGGCTGCCATCAACAAATCATCAAACAAGAAGAGCTGGCGAGGGTGTGGAGAAAAGGGGACTCTAATACACTGCTGGTGGGAATGCAGCCTGGTGCAGCCACCGTGGAAAACAATATGGAGCTTCTTCAAAAATTAAAAATAGAACTGCCATTTGATTCAGCGATCCCATTCCTAGAACTATATCCTAAGAAGCCTGAAACACCAATCAGAAAGAATATATGCACCCCTATGTTCATAGATATTTACAATAGCTAAGACCTGAAAACAGCCAACGTGCCCATCAGTAGATGAATGGATAAAAAAGCTGTGGTACATATAAACAAACATTATGCAGCTGTAAAGAAGAAAGATTTCTTACCTTTTGGGATCTGGAGAGTACTATGCTAAGCAAAATAAGCCAATCAGAGAAAGACAAGTATCACATGATCTCAGTTATTTGTGGAATATAATGAACAAAATAGACCCATGAAAGTAAGGAACAGACTGACAAACCTCAAGGGAGGGGTTGGAGGGCCGGAAATAATAAACCAAAGAACTTATATGCATATATCCATAACCAATGGACACAGACAGCAGTACTATGAAGGGGTGGGGCTAGAGCAGGGAAGAGGGTGTCAATGAGGGGGAAAGGAGGAACATTTGTAACAAAAATTAACTAAGTTTAAAAAAGAAGAAGAAAAGAAAAAGATAAAAAATATGAACAGCAGTGGCCAGTTTGTCCAGCGGTTAGAGCACCAGCCCTCGGACCAAAGAGTTGCAGTTTGATTCTGGTCAAGGGTATGTACCTCAGTTGTGGTTTGGTCCCCAGCCCTTGTCAGGGTAGTGAGGGAGGCAACCAATCAATATGTCTCTCTCACATCAATGTTTCTCTCTCTCCCTTCCTCTCTCTCTTTCTCTTTCCCTCACACTCTATCTGAAGATAAATGGAAAAATATCCCCGGGTGAGGATTTAAAAAAAAAAAATACACACACATACACACACACACATGAACAATAAAATGACAATAAAGATATATCCATCAACAATGAATCTAAAAAACAAAATAAACCAGCAAGCAGAACAGAAACCGACTCATACATACAGAGAACATTTTGACAGTTGCCAGATGCAGGAGAGTTGGGGGATGGGTAGAAAAGGTGAAGGCATTAAGAAGTACAAATTGGTAGTTACAAAACAGTCATGGGAATGTAACATACAGCATAGGGAATATAGTCAATAATATTCTAATAACTATGTATGGTGACAGATGGGTGCAAGATTTATCAGGATGAACACCTAGTTATGTAATGTCCAATCACTGGGGTGTACACCTGAAACTAATATAATAATACATGTGAACTGTAATTGAAAAATAAAAAATTATTTTTTTAAAAATGATTCAAGCCCTGGCCAGTTTGGCTAAGTGGTTGAAGTGTCAGCCTACAGACCGAGGAGTCGAGGGTTCAATTTCTAGTCAAGGGCACGTATCTGGGTTGCAGGTTCAATCCCCACCCCGGTCAGGGTCATGCAGGAGGCAACCAGTCAGTATGTCTCTCTCACATCAGTGTTCCTCTCCCTCACTCCCTCCCCTCCACTCTATCAAAACAAAAAGAAAAAAAATAATGGAAAAATATTCTTGGGTAAGGATTAACAAAAAAAAAAAGAGCCCGGATAGTGTGGCTCAGTGGATTGAACATTGTCTCATGGACTGAGAGGTCTGGGTCCAATTCCCAGTCAGGGCACATGCCCAGGTTATGGGCTCGATCCCTAGTAGGGGCACGCAGGAAGCAGCAACCGATGTTTCTCTCTCTCTCTCCCTTTCTCTCTCTCTGAAATCAATAAAAACATATTTTTCAAAAAAGATTCAAAACATTCTAACACACCTCAGCTAATTTAGTTCAGTTGTATTTTCCTTTCTATGAATACATTAAGATGGGTAATTAAAATGTGTGCCTAAATAACTCTAAAGATTACTTTTGACAAGCATGGAAGTTCTAAGTGATAACAAAGAATTGTGTCATTAGTTGTACATTAAATAATAATGTCTTACGATTGCAGCTTTTCAGAGCCAACAAAATTCATGATGGTGATCAGTAACATTAGTAAGCACTTGCTGTGGCAGGCACTGTGCTAAGTACCTTTAGTATGTGATCTTCACTCCCATGGGCTCTGCAGGTGGAGAACTGAGGTCCCTAGGGTCAAGTGCCTGCCTGCAGGCATGCAGTTCGGACGTGGGTTGTCTAGTCCTAGGACCTGAATCCTCCCCATGCTACAGCCCTTCAAGGGTAGGGAAAGGTTTCTGCCGAACTCTGTCCTCAGAGTGCCTGCCCAAGCCTCCTACCCTTACCTGTTGTTGTTGTAAAACTCCGAGTAGAACATTTTAGGTCGAGCCAGTTCCTCCACTCGGCGGGACACTGCTACACAAATGGGAAACAGCCCCAACTTGAAACCTGCCCAACCCCTGGGGTTTTCTCCCTAGTGAATTCAGTTTTCCATGGGCCAGAGCAAGAGGCACAATGTGAGGAACTATGGGCCCAGACGGCTCAGCATTAGACACCTTGCAGAGGGGTGACTTTTGCTGTCCCCATTCTGGGGATAACAGGCTCAGAGGCCACAGGATGGGAGTGGCAGGGCTGGAAAAGGGGCTCAGGCCCCTCAGTTCCTCAACTTGTGTGGGAAAGTAGATTTTGGTCTGAAGTCTGTACATGCCTAGGGTTTCCAGGGGCTTAGTGTTCACTGTCGGGGAGATTCTAAACCCCAAGAGAGAACCTGCCCTTTAGTTATCTCCAATAATGAGCTTTCTTGAAATGTGGGGGATAGATACTCCTGGGAGATGGAGGGAGAAAAGGAGCCACAGGGACTCCCAGAGGGGTTAGGGCTAGGGGAGTCCCTGAGGTCTCCCCAGTCTGAGCAGGGCACAGGGTGGGGTGAGATAGGGGTGATCCAGTCCCAGGAGGCCAGGAGCAGCATGTCAGACAGAATGGCCAAGAGCCATGGCTGGGACAAGGGCTACCTCTGGACAACCACTGAGCCAGGCAGCCCCCAGTGGAGAAGTGGAGCCGGTGGGCGGGCTCAACCTACCAGGTATGGTGACAGTGAGGGTGGTGTCTTCCAGAAACCTCTCCGTCCAGTACACAGATGGCCTGGAATGCACCCAGTCGTGGCTCAGGGTGAGGGAAGCCGAGGCAGAGGCTTCCTGCGCCCTGCTCTGAAACAAAACTCAGGGCACCCCATAAACACAGACACACGCACGGACAGAAAGACAGTGAGGCAGAGACAGGGTGGCTGGAGAAAGGAGAGAATGTGGAGGCTCAAGAGAGGGGCAGGTCAGAGAGGGACATGGGGAGAAAAATCTTAGAGTCATGGGGAAATATAGATTATTTTGAGCAAGGCTGATGTTCAAAGAAGTGGGGAGCTGGGGAAAAAGGCCTAACTAAGGAAAGGGCCCTGGGGCCTGGCTGTTCCCCCCAACATGGGTAGGAGATGGAGAGGGGGTCACCCTGGGACTTACCAGTAGACACAGAACTGCAAGCTCTTCATGCATGGGGAGATCCAGGCATAGCCCTTACAGCAGCAGCCCATCCTGCGATGACACAGCCCAGCCCCTGCCTCGCTCTGCATCTCCCAGTTGCTCAGACGCCTCGCTCTCCTGGGCTGGCACCCAGAGGCCACCACCAGCCACTGCACCCCGCCAAGTCCCCATTGTTGGCACCCTGACTTTTCACCCCAAGTATACCATATGGGTGACAGATGGGACACCCAGAGGCTGCTTTCCTCCTCTCAGACCCCCACCCTGGCCCAGCAAGACCACCCGCACCCCCTCACCTGTCTTTCAAGACTTGCCAGTTGGTCTTGGGTTTTGCCAGCTCAGAAAGCCTCCTTCTCTTCTTCCTCCCTCTCATCACAGAGGTGCCAGGGAACCTCTGGTTGATGGATAGCCGGCTTTGGGAGAGTTGGATGGTGAAGCTGGGGTTGCTGGCTTTCCAGCCCCCCTAAATCTCCTTGCTCTCTGAAGGGCCCTCTCTGGGAGTGAATTCGGGCATCAAAAGATGTGGACAGTGATCTTCACTCCACCAGCAGGCCTCCTGGCCAGGTGGCCCCGTTCCCCCCACTGTGAAATGTAATAGAAACCCGCCCTCACCTCACAGGATGGTCACAGTTATCACGTAAGACGTTTTCTCATCTCATGTGTATCCAGGCCCCTGAGAGGAACTGAGCTACAGAGAAGCCCCAGGTAGCCTTCAGACTACGGGAGGAACAAGGCCTTCTCCTCGCTTCCTGCGACCACAGGCTCAAATGTCCTCCCTGGGCTCCCGTCACTGCCCTGCACCATTTTCTCCACAGCACCACCCCGCATGTCACAGTTCGAGTCAGCGAACGCCCACCTGCGGTGTGGCAGGTGATGCCCATGAAGAGGGCAGCCGATGAAGGAGGGCACTGGCCAGTGCCTGCTGACCCACTGGGCTCCTTCCTGCCTGGACAGTCACAGTCCAAAAGAGCCTAGAATGTGGCCCAGTGGAGGGAGGGAGGCACACACTAAGTCCGCGGATGAGAGGGCACCTGGCTCTTTCCAAGACACTACCGATTGCCAGAAACCACTCCCACATGTGCTGGATCCACCAATCCTCAGTTCACCCAGAACATGTCCCCTGGCCATCTGTAGTGGTTAGAACAGTTGCAGCTTCTGAGCTGGGAGATTTTCCCCTTTTCTTTTGCTCTCTAAATGAAGGCCATCTCTCTTGACTTCCCAGCTCTGGCATCTGAACCCTGTCCGACTCCAGAATTGATGCTTTTGTAGGGTTTTCCACTATAACCCACCTGCTACCTGCACAGGGGTTGTGTTTGCTGACTTCACCTTGGAGGCCATTGAAGGTACTGCCCACCCTGTCTGTTACCCTCACCCTAGAATGACTGCATGGTCCCCGGGGGGACCCACGCAGCAGTAATGACACAGAGACTGCAGGGGCACAGAGTGGATGTGGGGATAAGCTCTCTCCCAGTGCCTGAGCCCCAACCCCAGCCTGTGTAGGCCCCACCCCCTGTGCCCACCTCATCTCAGGCACATCCTCCTCCTTGTCTTTCTCCAGAACCGTCTCCGGCTCTGGGAGGGCCTCTCCTGGGTCCTTGACATCTAGAAATTCCTCCTCGGTCAACTCCTCAGGGGGAATTTCCTCTTCTTGGTCTTCGAACCCCGGTTCTCCATCGTCTAGGTCCTGGTACTTGGAGTCCTTTGACCCTTGGCTCTCATACACAGTGCTCTGGAGGCCCAGAGCATCACTGTACTGCTCCCTCTCTGACCTGCCCTCGGACTCCGAGGTGCGGTGGTTATCAAGCAAACTTTGCCGATGGTCCCCCATGAACGGGTCCCTCCCCCAGCCCTTCAACCTTGCTCCCAGCACACCCAATGTGTCTGTAGTCACCAGGCAACAGGAGAATGGCCCGCCCACATTCTGAGCGTCCGCATTCCACTCTGCTGATGCCCATCACATGGATACTGCTGAAGCTCCTCCCATGGTCCCTCCACAAGGTCCTGTGTGGGGCCCTCTCACTCCAACCTCAGCCCCTCATTTGTCCTCTTCTGTCACTCTGCCTTCCTGCTCCATGAACATGCCAGGTACCCTTCCTCAGGGCCTTTGCACCTGCTAGTCCCTCTGCCTACAACCCTCTGTCCACATGTGTCCCAGGCCAGCTCCTACTCAGGAAGACAGCCCCAATCTTGGGTCTCTCTGCATCCCAACATCTTCTTTGATTTCTCCGTGGCATGTGGTATCACCTAAAATCATGTTGTTGACCTTTTTGTTTTCCGCTTTGCTTTGTAGAAGTCACCTCTCCAGACAGGGCCTGGGAGTGTCCCATTCTGCATGTCCTGGTACCTAGAGCAGCACTACCCACAGAAGGCTTTCAGGAAGAGCTATTGAATGAATGATTAGACTGGAAGCATGGCTCGGTGCTGGAGCAGACCCAACTCCATCCTATATTTCTTCTTAGTAGGAGACCCCATCTGTGCTCAGGAGGAGGCAATGCTGGTGATCATAGCTCACCAGGGGCTGTTTCCTTCCCAGGATTGATTCAGGAATGAGACCCGAGGGGAAACTGCAAGGAGCTTCTAGAGATGGCTTCCTCTCATGTGAAAGGAAATACAAGGAAGAAACCCATGTCTTCTTGGTTATTTTTGAGACTGCCGATGATGTCTATTGCTCAGACAGCTATCTTGTGAGCGTGAGACCTGCTCGTCTGAAGGTGGTGAGCTGAGGATGGGTCTTTGGCGGCATTGCTGAGCCTGGGAACTTGACAACCCCGGAGACTTCAGGGCGGGGGCTTCCCAGGCAGTGAGGGAGGAGGCCACTTCCAGCGTCCCAGCCTTCAAAGACACTGCATGGAAGGAGAGCTGAGCTGCTGAGCCCAGCCCAGGAGGCAGGGTCGTGGGAAGTAGAGCATCTTCATAATTTTAAGCCACTAATTTGGGGCTGTCTGTTATGTAGAATCTTTTCCTGTCAAAGCAGCCCATTAGCCCTGCAGGGTCCCTGACAGCTTCCTGCCTCCAGAGGGAGACCACCTGCCATCTGCCACACTTGGCCCCCTCTCCTGTTGGCCTGTTCAAACCCCACATCCCCACCAGTCTCACTTCTTATCACCTTGCAGTGAGCATACCCCTCGATTTTTGTGTGGCTGAGTCCTCCAAGATTCACCTTAAATATCACTTCCTCCAAAAACCCTTCTCTAAAGTGTTTTCCTACCTAAATCTATGGGAACTTTTTGGTGGTGTTTCACAGCGTTTATCATGATTTTACACTATATTGCATTTGTAAATGTCTTTTTACCTCATCAGAGTATCTGGGCATCAGCTGGGCAGGAACCGTGCCTGTCTTGCCCCTGCCTAGACTCCCCACACCCAGAACAGGCCCGTCCCACGCAGAGTTTCAATAATCGCCTTGAAAGATTTTATGTTCCGCTGAAGCCAGGGAGGAACAGCAATACCGCAGGGCCGCCAAAAGAGGTCGCCCCTCTCAAGGACATGTGCGCCCCTTTGCCTGTGCTCTGCAGAGTCTCCTTGAATCCCCCACACAAGCCGTCCTTTTGTCTTCCGAGATGGATTTCAGTATCGTCATCCCCATGTCGCCCAGAGAGGCCAAGTCATTGCCCAAGATTGCACAGCATGGAGCATTAAGCGGCCTTTGGAAGGGCCCCAGCATTTGCAAATTTCAATATTTGCAAAATCCAGCAGTGATGGGAAGGGCCCTTGACCAAAGGGCATGTGTGTGTGTGTGTGTGTGTGTGTGTGTGTGTGGCAAAATCTGAGGGATTCGGTGCCCTTCCTGACTCTGGGGAAGGGATGTTCAGTGGAGGCAGAAACAGAAACAAGGGCTCAGTACCTAATCCTCCACTGCTGAATTCCAAGCACAGTCCAGTTCCTATGGAGAGGCAAGGAGTGAAAACCATGGTGTAAAGCTTCCCAGCCCAGCTCTCAGCTTGAGACTAAATTAGTTCTCCCAAAATGCAAGGGTAAGTGAGTTGGGAGTGATTCCACATGGTGGTCCTGGGAAAGGGGCCTGGGGACTGTCACCTACCCCCCCTCCTACTCAGCTGGTGAAGACACAGCAAGGCCTGTGGAGTCCGGAAGGGGTGTGGATGGTGTGTCTTGCTCCTCAGAAGAGCCCCGGAGGCGGCGTGGGGCCTTTCCATCTGCTACATGTTCTTTAGCGTACAGCAGGGTTTCTCCATATAGGCACTGTGGACGGTTGGATAGTTCTGTATGGAGGGTCGAGCAGTACCCCTGACTCTACCCACTCAATGCCAACAGCACCCCCAGGCATGACAACTACAGATGTCCCTGACACTGCCCATTGTTCCTGAGTGAGAACAAATCACGTAGGTAGGGCCTGGTGTGGTATGTCCAATTGGTAACAGTGGGATGAAATGCACACCATCTGCTCTTGTCTAAAATAGCAAAACATGTCTCACTCATATTTAAGAGACTTCGACTCCAAAAAGGCCACTACACTTGGGTTCGATTTCTCAGACCCTAATGAGGAGTCTATTTTTCTCCTACAGAGGCAAGCGGTTTCATGGCTACAGCAAAGACCCAGAAGAATTTCTTCCTAGCAAAAGTCTGGGTATCTGCAGTCCATGCCTGCCCAGCTCAAGATGGAAGGGGAAAAGAGGCTGGGCCCATCCTTTTGGAACTGTTTTACTTTTTGATGTCAAATACCATGTATCCTAAGTGTAGGAGTTTTCACAACAGACCACAGCCATGTAACAGCCCCAAAGCCACCAGACCCTTCGGTCTTCCATCCCCACTCCCCACAGGGATAACCATTATCCTAACTTCTCAGAGCATTGATTAGTTTTGGCTGATTTTGACTTTATATAAATAGAAATTTTTGGTATTTATGTTTTCGGTCTGGCTTCTTAAGCTCAAAACTGTCTGTGAGATTCATCCATGTTCATTGTCATTGCTTGGGAGCATTCCGCTGAACTGAGTGGATACACCACAATTTTTTTGCCCATTCCACTGTTCATAGGAATTTGGATTGTTTCTAGGTCTTGTGAACGCCTCACTTTGGAAGGCATAACCACTCTTGTTCACATCCCATTGGCTGGAACTTAGTCATAGGGCCATGTTTTGTTGCAAAGGAGGCTGGGAAAGGTAGGCGAGAGAGAGAGAGAGAGAGAGAGAGAGAGAGAGAGGTTCTCTTTCCAGGACATCTAAAAGGCAGCTGCAATTCTGCTCTGTAGATACCTTTGACAGTAAGCAACTAAAAAGCCTGCCTCTGATGGGCCCAAGGCTCCTGGACTCCATTCTGCTGCTCTGTGATTATTTTGGCTTTGCCTCCTTTCGCATTGTATTCCTCCTTAGATGGGCACCAATATGGCTGCAGCTGCTCCAGACACCTCATCATGAAGCTGTAATGGTCACAGGCAGAAAGGGACCACTTTCTTGGGCCTCCCTCTTAGGAACACAGAAACCTTCTGTGGTCAGCAGAATAACAACCCCCAAAGATTTCCACATCCAAATCCACAGAACCTTTGACTATGTTTTGTTGCGTGTCAAGGGAGAGTCAAGGTTTCAGAGGAAATTAAGGTTGTTAATCGGCAGACCTTGAGATGGGAGATGATCCTGGGTTATTCTAGTAGTGTAACATGAGGACCTTTATAAGTGGAAACAGGATGCAGAAGAAAGAACAAGAGATGACAGCATGAAGAATGAGTACAGGTTGTTGAAGTGGTCATGAGCCATGGAATGCAGTGGCCTCTAAAAGCTGCCTCCCTGACCTCCCTCATATCTCATTGGCCAGAAGGGAGTCACTTGTCCACACATAAACCAATCTCCAACAAAGGGGTGGGACACCAATGAGGATTTTCAGCAGCACCCAGGTAGGATGGGTTTCTCTGAGTCACATGGGGTGGGGAGTGGACGCCCAAACAGTGTCCAGGCTCTGTCCACAAGGGAAAAGGAGTCTGTTGGGTGACCCTGGAAGCATGAGGGATGAAGCAAAGGGAGGCGTCATCCTATGCATGGAGCAGTCATGGAGGGCCTGCAGGACAAGGGGCAGCTTGGAGATGCCTGACATGAACTGATTATAACTGCAGACCAGGTGCCTACTGCCTAACCCAACAGTGACATGGCTAATATCCAAACCTCATGGCCCCAGGAATTTACACTGCTTGGACTGGGTTGAATTGTGTCACCCCAAAAAGATATGTTTTAAGTCCTAACTCCTCTACCCCCATTGATCTAAGAGGACCAGGAGGAATTTCATTCTCTGTGGTCCCCAAAGTTCTATTAACCCTGACCTCCCCCAAGCTTGGTGGGGGCTGTCCTCCCTCTGAGCTGTTGCCTGCTGGCCTGGCTGCCAGCATATGTTGTCATGGCAACATGCTCAGGTACCCAGGCCCCCCTAGTCATTGGGTCAGATATGAGTTTATTTCAATGCGAATTTTCCTAATCTTGATAACTGTACCAGGTTATTTTTAAAAATCATTTTTTAGAAAATACGTGGCTCTGACCTTAGTTGGTTTGGCTCAGCGGTTAGAGCACTGGCCCTCAAACCAAAGGGTCTCTGGTTTGAATCCCAGTCAAGGGCACCTACCTGGGTTGCAGGTTCAATCCCCAGCCCCAGTCAGGATCGTGCAGGAGGCAACCAGTCAATGTGTCTCTCATATCAATGCTTCTCTCTCTCTCTCTCTACCCTTCCTTCCCTTCCACTCTATCTAAAAATCAATGGAAAAATATCTTTGGGTGGGGATTAACACACACAAAAAAAATACGTGACCCTGTGTTTATGGATGAAGGGGCATAACAACACCAATGTCTTCTTAAGTGGTTCAGGAAATGCATATCAATATATGTGTATAC